AGGTTACACAGTTATTTTGCCTCTATCAACTACGCTGTATTACTGTATTGATTGAAGTTTATCGTTTTACAGTGACAAATACCAGAAAATGTGTCACAGTATGCATGAGTGGACAGAAAAATATGGTTTACCCACACTGTTACTGACTTAATGTGTGAGCTAATTAAGACTTGAGTACATTGCCATGGATACCTGAGGCAAAGTGTTGCGTGAGTGCATGTGTGTACCTTGCCCTGCAGGGACACAGCCCACAGTGACAGCCGTCCTCTGGGCTCCTCATTGATCTCCCAACCGCCACAGCTGATGTCGCTGAAGGGATCTGGTAGAGTCATCTGCTGTGAGGGGATCTGTCAGCGCACACAGGAAGAGAGACGAAGGTGAACAAACTGAAAACTTTACACGCGCGCACACACACACACACACACACACAGTATAACACCCACCTTGGCCCAGGTATCCATGGCTTTGTACCTCCTGTAGCGGAGCCATCGCCTGCGACGGACACAGGAGTTCCACTTCTTGTCTTTGGTGTAGGTGGCAGGGAAGTCCATGGCGTAGCTCCACCCCTGCAGATACAAACACCTCAATCGCATAAAAAAGGCAGGAATAAAGAAAGAAAAAAGACAGAAACTGATGGTCAAATGAGGAGATGCAAGTAAAACGATAACTGGACACTCACCTCTTTCTCTGTGGGCTCTCCCTCAAAGTTTTCATCCACGTACCAGTCACCTTCCCACTCCCAGCTGCTGGAGGGAAGCCGGAAGTTGTCCAGAGGTTGGTGTTGCAGACCTGTGACATCACTCAACTGCCAGCGGTCGCTTGGCAACAAACGATCCGAGAAACCATCGACAGGATTCCATCGCTGATGGAAATACAGACAGACGGGGAGAGATGGCATGTTAGAGCACACACAGGGCCAAAACAAGCAAAGTAAAACACCTCTCACCTCTCTCCCAGTTTCATCGGTCTGAAAGATTTACTGCCAAACAGCAGTGGTGACATGTAGAAAGTCACAACAACAGCCACTACAGAGTACAGACCGAGTATTGACCTAAAGCACATGACCTGACACAGCCATGTGACAACAACCTAGCGGTCCAAAACGTTTGCAATCATTCACAGGAAGCATGAATCTCATCTGTATTTTTTTTCAGTTCTACATACAGTATCCCTCTCACTGTGTCTGCTGTTTTACCTAAAAACTGGTACACTTGCTTCTAATGTACTTGTTAAGGCACCCAGCTGACAATGTGCTGAAGTTAGTAACAGAGGAAGTGGGACACTGCTGTATGAGGATGTTGCACTTGAAATAACACATGACCCAAGTCCAAGAGGAACTCCACATTTTCGATTTTACTTTGGATGCTTTGTGCAGGAAATTAAGAAAATTAGCGTGTTTTAAACTTGCATAGTGAGAAAAAATACTATGCCTTGTTCCCTTGTGTATTTTTAACCTTGACTCACTTGATTCTCGTAGGTCTCCTCCTGGTAGCGGACCGGCAGGTCAGAAGCGTGGACATTCAGGTATATGTTATTGTCACAGGCGATGCCCCAGCAGCACTGCTGAGCTGCCGTCACCCGCTTGAACTCCATCTGGGCATCACGGCACTGCTCCCACTGCTGCCCTGCCGTGGACAGGCTGTAGACCCGCCCGTACACATCCACCGCCCATAGCAGGGAGACGGGCATGGTTGCACTGGGAACCTGGGGAACAGGGTGGGTCAATGAAGATAATGTAGCTTTAAAGTTTCAAAATGATTTTTTTTGTATGACAATATCAATTTCAGGTATATAATCTGTATCTGTTTGTTCAGGGTTTTCATTATCCATCATTATTTATAGGTGCATCGTTATAGTATATCAGATGAAATTATTCAGGAGGTCATGTGAATTACCAATTTCCAAATGGTATCTTTGATCTGTGATCTTGCATTGAATCTTAAGATTAAGTTAAAAAGTAAGTATGCAGTTAAGTTCAGAGAGTTTTATAAATGGACCCAACGGTGGGTCAGCAGGGTTGAAAATTAGGAAGGAAAGAGAAATAATTATGATGAAGTGCAGTGTGTTACACGAATAGTCAAAGTGGTAGGAGGATAAAAGAACACACACACATACACACACACACAAAAAAAACAAATGACCCCTGCAGCTCAGAGGTCATCGGGAGAAATCACGGTATAAGACATTAATGCACTCAAAGGATGCATGTGCAGTGTTTACAAGCAGTTGTCACAAATGGCCTTTTTTACAGCAGATATTCTGACTTAACATAGCAGGAAAATCACAGGCGTTACTAATAACATTAACAATGACTTTGCTCTATTTAAGTGTCCCAGTAGGCCGTGACAGTCTGACAGTGAGCAAGCATTAATAGACCTTTTTCACAGCAGCCATTTTGACATGAAATAGTAGAATAAACACAAATGTTACCAATGATACTAATTAAGGTTTCTTTCCATTAAGGTTAAACTGAGTCAGGGTGCTGCTAGTGTGCATGCTGGCTCACTGGTAAGGCTCTGCTATTGTCTGCTCGTATCATTGATAACAAATGTGTTTACCCTACTATTTCATGTCAAAGTGTCATGGCTGCTGTGAAAAAGGTCTATAACACTGAAGCAACTAAATGGAGTTCAGTCATGGATCCTTTTATCATTGCTTTTCCAAAATGTCCAGATGTCCTGTGTGAAAAAGGCCTGTGTTTATCCAGCAACTTTATCCAAACACACAGACATACATACACAGAACAGTGTGTTATAAACAGCATGTGAGTTTGCCTCTATAACTTGGTTAAGCAGTAGCTCCCACTTTTAAAACAGGGCTGTCCACACTGATCAGTCTCATGTGTTGTGGTGGCACAGATCCATTCTCACTGTGTCTGTTTACACCACTTTTTGCTCCACTCACTGTGCACGTTATTGACCCATACTCTACATCCTGGACAGCATTTAAGCAGGCATGGAAAATGTGAAACGACACTTAATTGAGTAAACAATGCAACGGTTGCTAAAAGCCTGCTGCAAGTGGTCTCCATTTCACAACACTGCGTAACCGGTGTGTCGGCTGGCTCGCTGCTGCTAAAAGGCGTCTCCTCTGTCACCCCTCAGTATACCTCACATTCAGCTCATATCATAACAATAATACCGACACATACGTACACACACGCGATGGAATTAGCTAAATAATTGAAATGAACAACAATATAGGTGTTTATGCGTGAGGTTTGTTACTGTATAACAAGGTATGTAGCTGCATTTTAGCACTGTGTCAACGCCAAGAGCTACTAAAGAGCCTCGGTGGCCAATATGCTGCAGGTGTGAATGACAGGAGAGTGAAATGTAAGCTGTAATGCTCCTCACAAACGTACACCGTGGAGTAAAACCAGCTTTAGGCTTAAACGGCAACACTCAGCTTGCTTTTGGTGCAGGCTTACAGGCTTAGTCCTCTAGAAATAGCGAATTAACAGAGTTCAAACACACCAACCTTGAGCTTCCTCTCATGGACCGCGAAGGGGCGCAGGTGGGATGTCACCGCCGTTCATCCACAAAGTGGAAGTGAATGTGACAGCTGAGCTAGATCATATTGTGTATGGTACCAGCTGATGGTCCACATCAAATGTCTTTCCCTACGTGAAACAGGAAGTGCTGCTCAGTCTTTCTTCGTTCCTATTGGCTGTTTCCCGCAGCACCCAGGTGTTTGTAGCTGTATCCGTCCAGCAGGGGGCGCTGCGGCCTCAGACTTCAGAGCAGAAACTGAAAGTAAACAGTAGAAAGTAACAACCACTGTACAATTGTTAGATACTTGTATACTGGGCTTGAGTATTTCCAGTTTGCAGTCATTTATACCACTACTCCACTACATTTCAGAGGAAAAAACTTTTGCTCACTTACTACATTTATCTGACAGCTATAGTTATTAGTTATTTTATTTAAGAATGATAAAGTTGTACCTCACACTATCCCGCAATACAAACTATATTTTGCTAGTAATACTTGCTTATACTCAGTAGGAATTTTGAATGCAGGACTTTTATTTATTTAAATGTGGTATTACTTGTAATTACTTTATTATCATATATTATCATTATATAAAAACACACACAAAACAACAGGCATCCAGCATCATCATCATCACTAGAAAAATGTGGATCATATAGGCCAGGGGTCTCAAGCTCAGATTACCTGGGGGACACTGGACAGGTTGTTTTCTCCTGAATGGAGGGGGCTGCCTGACAGGTCAGAGTTAAAAAAACAATATCTACCTGTCATACTGCACTGAACGTCTAGTAGAGATTGTTTTCCTGGAGAACAACAGCTGATGACAGGAGCAGTTATACAAAAGTCCATGGTAAAAACGATCAGCTGGTCTCCTTGCTCACTGCCAGTGCTCAACCTTGGTTTTAGGCTTAGAAAGAGACACTTTATAGGTGTCAGTGCAGTAAGAGAGTGCCATTGGACAGTTTTCACACTTAGATTCTGCAGCCTTGCTAGAAAATTAAATAATCACTGATATAAAAGATAAAAAATGTTTCAGGCTGGAGCTGGATGTAAGAATAACTTATAAACATGGGGAGGAGCTTGTCTTGCGGGTGGCATCTGATCCTGCTTCTTTCAGACCCCTAATTTAGGCACTCCTTTCTGATTATCATTTACACAATCACTTTTTGTATCAGTCTCCTTTTGACCGATTTTTATCCAACTTCTCTTTGGATCCTTTGTGTGTGATCTTACAGCCCTTAGTGTTTATTTATCTCTCTGTTTCTGTAATAGTCTTTATATAGTCTGTATATTTATTGCATGCATGGCAATTGGTTTGATAATATTCAGCTTCTTCTAATAATTTTCATACCCATGCCTTTCACAAAATAAACACCTACATGAGAAAGCAATTTTTAACACATTGTAAACCATCCTTGAACCTCAGCTGAGTGAAACAACCTGTTGCAGAGACTGGTGAGACAAAAACAGAAAACACAATTGGACATAAATTATGCAAACTTTTACTGGACTTCACCTTGTTTTATTGAGAAAAAAAGACTACATTGGTCAACACAGTGGCAAGGTACTCTGAAGAAAGCATGAGGCAATAACTATATCAGTATGATGGGTTCACTTACACACTTAACATCAGTGGGTCTATGAGGATCAATAAACTGTTTCATCAATCATTTCCTCACCATACATTTACATCCTGTAAAGCAAATACATGGCACAAGTCATTTTCCTCAAGAAACAGTTCATACTGTTAATTTTAAATAATGACCCACTTTAATTCATACAATACAAATGTCCACCAGTAAAGAACATTTTTATTTTGCATAACTGTGCATGTTACACAGAATCTACATTAAACAACAGTGGAACCGCAAGGAGTGAAAAATATTTCCTTCATCAAAAGGTAATTTTGCCCATTTAAAATACATACCAGCATTCAAATCAAAATCAGTGTGGGATCATGAGCACAGTGGCTATTGTATTCAAAGGGGCCCCTTCACAGAATGGACTTCTGTATACATATTTCATTTAAATATCTCATACAAACTTACTGTATATAAATAGCCTTCTCATTTTAAACAGTGACATACTGTTTTGCCTTCACTCAAATGACAAACCCTTTTTCCCAACACGTCACTCTCCCTTCATTCTCACAACCTTAGAATATCACAATTTCTCTTAAAAGAAAGACAAATAATTAAAAAAAATAGAAATAACAATATTTTTTCAGCAAGTCAGGATGACAGCCTGGGTGCTCGTCTTTTTCCATCAGCATCAGGTCACTATTATTTACATCTACATCTCATCATTCTGTATTTAAACACTGCACTGACTGCTACAAATAAACCGGAAAAGACCTCAAGACACTGTCTGAGCATCCATTGTCCTCTTATAGAAACTATTTTAAAGTGACAGTTCACCCCAAAATGAAGATTCAAGTTTAATCACCTTGTTAGCATACCAGTAGAAACTCCACTGGTATTTGTAGGACCATTAGACACACAATAGCTTAATCTCAGCCTTGTATTACAATGCTGAAGGAACTACAGTACATAGCTAGCATTAAATGCCACCCCTCCCCTTTTTTTGGACTGGAAAGACGAAAAGAAGACAAAAGTATTTTCTAGTTTTAATTATTTCCTGAAGTTATAATCCTCAAGATTTTCATCGGTAGTGGTGGAGTCCGCCACTCCCATGCTAGATTCCAATTGCCTACCTATGCACGGGGGATTCACAGGAAACAGTGTATGCCAGTGCAATTTTATCTCATTGTTATCAGCCTCATTGTTCATTGTCTTTACACTGTATACAAGCTATATTAAGTTTTGTTTCGACTATGTGATGATATTAAGCGACTGCTTCACATTAAAAGCCCTCAACTGCCAAAGCACAAGATGGCTTTAATTGTAAAGCAGCCACAAGCAATGCAACATATTTTTAGATCTGATTACAACTTTCAGTGACAAAGTCTAAAATTTTCATTTTGGGGAGACAGTTTTTTAACATAAAATATCTCTTTGTGCAACAAAAGTCTTCAGAATTCCTGCTTTTCCATGTATTGATTATGCAACATGTCCCTGTTGTGGCTAATGTAAAACACACACTTGCATGGTAAAACTTTCTGTTCCAAGAAACAATGGATCCATTTAATAGAGCAGACTGGTACTGAGAGAGACTAACATGCAGGCTGGTGACATGTCAGGTTGGGGTGATATTCGGTGTGTCGCAGGGGGCCCATGTTGTATGATTCCCCTGAAGGCATAACAGCGGTGAAAATCCTCCTCCTCTGTGTTAGATGACTGGCGCTGATCTGTCATGCGTGACAGTTGGTCTCAGCTTGACCGTGGCAAACGGATTCCCTCCTCTGTGGGCAGGAAAAGGGGAAAAAAATCATAATGCTGGTATAACATCTTTAAATTTACCATCAACCAACCTTTAATTACTGACACAACTGTGAGTGTTTGTTAGTTGTGTTAGGTCACTCACCCTAGAAAAGGAGCCTTTGCAGTGACATTGGGTGCTAAAGAAACCTGTTGTCAAAAAACACAGAAGAAAAGACCCTTAAAGATCCAGCAGACAAAGAGAAATAACACACAACATTCAACGCACACCACCACAGTCACCACAAACCCACACCCTCCCTCCAGCTGTGAAGAAAGTCAGTGTTGCCGGACTGGTTTGATAAGATTTATCATCAACAGTTGTCCCCCCTCCTTATTTATCAGCACACTATAGTTTTGACACGTACTTACAACCTCAGACCTCAGTCTGGAATCTAGACAATCTAGAAAGGCCGGCGAGGGACACACTCCTCTTTTTCTCTCACCTGAGGACGATAATCTTATCGCCTCCACAGAGCCATGTAAGCATGAGGACAATAAATTTAAGGAACATAAACCACCGGAGCTATGTAGCCTATAGCACATATCTGTTAATTTGATGCTGCAAAGAAAGTTAGGGGGGGAAAGTTATAGGGGTGCTAAATCAGATAATATATATGTCAGATGAACTTTAGACAAGTCATGAGTTTGTAGTTCAAGATGCTGTCTTTAGATTAGATACAAAAATGCATTTAAACTAAGATGTTATCATTCATTTATTTAGTGTGCATGACAAAGAGAAGCTGATAAAGAGAGGTGACTTGCTATAGAAACCTAAATTGATTATATCATTATAATACACCTCTTATAGGAATGGATGTCTTTGCATTCATTAATAATTGCAGAAAAACATGCATTACCCTGCTCTTCCATTAGAGAGCAGACAACAGCCAGAAGTCACCGAACATGCACCCCACATTGGGAAACCTTTTGCCCTGAACTCTGCCTTTCAGGAAACACCTTTTTCTAGATTGTGTTCTGCCATCAAACAAACTCTTACATTCCTCATTTAAAAATAAATGATAACATTTCAGCTGGAGCATCTGTTCATTTCCTGGCTTTAAAAATCTTTAAACGCTTGTGTTTCCTTGGAAATACAGACATTTCAAGTTAAATTGTGAAAATGTATGCAAAAACATCAACAATTACTTTAGGGTTACTATAGTTTTTATGACTAACAAACACATTGAATAAAAAAAACCCAATATAAGTTACATAACTACTGTACTTGATCAAATCACTGAAACTGACTGAATTTAGGATCCCCTCTACAGAAAAAGGGATTTAAATGCTGCCTGAGCGGCTGAACTTAGGGAACGAAAGTCCCATGAGCAGTTACAAGGTCCACCTTCGCCCTAAAGTCACAATAACAAAACTAAAGAGCACAGTCAGCCTTCTGCCAGCTGAACAAATTGTCATAGGGACGATAAGGACTACTTGTAAGTGGCGTTACCAAAGTTTTGGTCCATGTGCTTAAATAAGAATGTTCATGTTTTAATAACATGAGGATAAGATGACTGAAAAACACTGGGATTCCTCCTGTAGGTGAAGGTATATCCCTCACTGTGCTTTATTTCATGGTAAAACCCTGAGGCAGCAGATACAAAGGACACAGAGTACAGACAGAGCAGTGAGGAAGGTGATGATGAGGGAGAAAGAAGCGTGCCTGGGCTTGTCTGCTGCCTGGACAGCTACTAGTTCATTCTCAATCAGCTGACACAGTGCAGGCACCAAATGAAATTGTTTCTGTACCCTCGTGTCCTTTATGCCTTCCTCTGTAACTCTCCTGTCCTCCAATCTCTCCATTCCTGAACAAAACCCAGCAAAACCTGGTCGGGAGCATTTTTCAAATGTCTTTTAAAATAATTTTGAGCCAACAACTCTCTGGTCTATTTCGCCTGTTTCCTCTTGATTCAGCACTATCAAGTCAGCAATTTTGCTGTTTGCTGTTTGCTGTTAACAGCAAATGTGTTAACAGTGGCAAAATTGCTAAGAAGCTCATGCAGAACGCTTATGCATCCTTCATCAGGATAAATATAGCATATTTCCTCAAACTGGTTATAGGAATTGAGGTGTGTTTCTGGCTCTGCTCCGTTCAAAGGGCGTGGAGGCGATGACTATGCAGCCAAAAGATTTTTGATAAGACCTAATTAGTCAGACTTAAAGTTCCATGTGTGTGATGGCATTTTGTAGTTTAGCTGTTAAGTCTGCGATGACTTAGGTAAGGCAATACAGATAGCCTATCAGGAAACATAAGACTTTTCCTTGAGCAAGAGCTGGTACGCTTCATAGACATTCAAACATGGCAGCTGTCTAGCACAACCACAGTCCTCTACTGTTAGCCATGCAAATTGTGTCAACAATAGCTGTAAAAGAAAGAGGAGTGTGTCTGTGTTTACCTAGTTGGCAGGTCAGACACTGCTCGCAAACGAATCTCTGAGCTAAAAATGGTAAAGAGCTACCTTCAAAATACATATAATGCACCTCTTATGGCATATGTTACGTCGCTTATTTGTATTCTTCGTCACAAGTTGTGAACACAACACTGAGATCATCTTTTAAGCTGAAGTTTCCTATTTACATATCCAGCAGGTGTGAAACAACATCTGCATTTGAATCATTTGGAGTAATGTTCTGGCAACCAGGTGACTGTAATTCCACTATTCACTATCCTTTCAGCTTCTAGCAACTCCTGACGGCAACACCTGGCTAATGAGCTACTAAATGCTCCAACAAGTTTACTGGCTGTGCGCTTGTTTTTCAGCTTGTAGTTATATAAAATACAATGGAAGACTACTTTTAATAATGAGCATGTTTGTTTGCATTTTATAGCACAGTGCTTCCACATAATAATAAAAACTAACATCCTCATTTGAAAACAAATGATGGCTTAAAGGAATAGTCTGCAAATCCATAGAACAACTTCTTTTAGCCATAACTACCAACGGGACAGCATCTCATCTCTTCTTACAAGACACTAAAAATGCTTGAAAATAGCACTCATTTTAAATGAAAGTATGTCAGTATATTAGTAGGCCGAACTCCCAACATTGAAGCCATGTTAAAGAGTAGTCTGTTTTAGTTGTTATGTACTTGGATTCTGTGTGTTTTGATTTGTGTTTTTGTTTTTTGTCTTTTGGGCACTTTTCCTCACAACCGTTTGGTTAAAAGGTTTCTTGGTAACAAGTAACAAATATTACAACATCATTACACACAGCACACTGATACCATTTCAACCAGTCAATAATGCTTTACATAAAACCAAACCATCAAACCACCCAAAGAGATCAAACAGGTTAAACATATAAGGTTATGCTGTTAAAGAGACTTTTTTCACCTGAGCATTTAGCCTCATAAAATGTTTCTTAGAGAAAAAAAAAAGATCTTGTACTGATTTAATAAATGTAACAAATGTAACATGTGGTTGGTGCATGCTTGCTCAAGTGCTGGTACTGACCTTGCTCTGTGGCGAGGGCATTGAGGGGATCACTGGGTTAGAGGGGGTGTTGTCGCTGTAGTCTGGTGGCGGCAGCAACACCGGCTCCTCCTCCTCCTGCTCTGGCAGACTGGCCACACTCAGACAACGCACCGGTGTGCCCAGATTGCTGCTAGCGCATACGACATAGAGGTACAACTATCAAACATCAGGTGTGAAACAAATCACAGATTCTCTTCCCGGCATATTGTAATGTTTCCTTACCTATCTGATATCACCGGCTCAGAATGAGGCCTGCAGTAAGAAGAGGGAAACCAGCCCCGCCTAATGACAGAGAGACAAACACAGCAACATTTTATATAAACAGTCAGATGTTTATAGTTTGTTGATTATTTGGATATCCATTAGTTGTAACCTTCTGGGGTGCATGTCTACTGTAGCTACAATGATTACATTGCATGATACCAGAAATAGCACACACTTTTTAAAAGAATAGTTTGAGGGGCGTTTTGGGGAGTACCCTTTTTTAGCTTGAGTTAGAAAATAAGATCAATACCACTCTCAGTTAGCTTAGCTTAGCACAAGACTGGAAACAAAGGGAAACAGCTAGCCTGGTTCTGTCCAAAATCGACCAGAAAATAGGCTGATACAGGTTACTGATCTCCTGTTCTGCACAATTAGGTATGGTAGGTAAGTTTCATATTTAGGTAACCCAAATAAAGACTCCCCCCGAGAGTATCAGATGATGTACATCAGTATTTTTTTATATTAAAGATTTAGATTTAGATTTATGATAAAATTATATATTATTATCCATGATAAAATAATATGTCTCAAAATCAATTCTGCCTAAATGATGAATGCCACTTTTGAAATATGTTCAGAATCTATCACAATCACTCTGCAAGAAGATTTGTTTTTGAGTTAAAACTGTCGAGAATCGCAGCCACAGACAACATTCTTAAATCAAATGCACATATCAGACACAGGATATATGACAGACAGACATATTTTGCTCACAAAGACTCAGAAGTTGCCTCCAAGTCACGTCTAGAGAAAAAGATGGCTTATCAGACCAATGCGCTGGATTTGTTGCTAAGGAACAGAATGTAATGTGATTTATCCCAACATGTCCTCTTCTTGACAAACCGCCACTGACTGCATTAAAACCACTTGAATTCAAAAGACCACTTAATGACACACACACACATACTCTCACACCCATGAAGCAGATAAGGCTTGCACTAATTTGTTTCGAAGTGGGAATGAAAAAAAAAGGCACAAGCTCTGTAAGCACTCCGTAATCCTCTCGCCTGTGTTATGAGTCCTAATTGATCTGGCGAGGAGCTGAAGATGGCAGTAATTACACAGGCAACTCAGAGGCTACTCTATGGATCTGTGCCACAGTAGCTACATATACAAACATGACTTGTTGTGCATAAACATTTTCCAATCTGACCATTTGAGCAGATAAGACACACAAAGCTAACAGGGGCAGTGTGTGATAGTGTAGGAGAATATTAAGAGAGGCGACACAGAGATAAAATTAAGCATTTGTTCATTGTTGAGCGAAATATAAAAGACCAGATGTCTCTTGTTTGTGTGTGAGTTTTTTCATGTGTGTCTGGTGTTGCTGGGCAGGGCAAGAGTGAGCGAGGGAGAAAGAGAGAGAGATCAAGCTTTACGATGTTGAACATACCTGGCATACTCTGTTTCTAGGCATGATGTATCAGCACAGCGAGATATTCACAGACACAAAGCCAGAAACGAATGCTGCTCAAGTGAGTTATGTAAAAAACGCCTGTGTGTCAGTGCTGCTGCATATTTATTGGAATGAAAGTATGTTTCCTCTCGTGGGTGTGCCAAAGGTTGTATTTATATTGCATTTAAATTAAGTATGTGAGGAAGGGATTTCACAATAAAACTTTCTATTCCACATTTCAAGTTTGTATTCACTTTTAACAAGTTCTGTAACACTTTAAAAGCCTATACATCCAATCCAGCTCTTTAGGCTGAAGGTTCAATGTTTGTAATTGAGAAGACCAAAACCCATAATGTGTTAGCCTGTCTCACGGTACTTTCCGTCTTCTCCAGCCTGTCTGTATTTATAGTATTTAAAGCAGCAGGTGTATGTGGGATGGACAAAAATAAAGTACAGTGTGTTTGTTCATGGTAATGAAGAAACATGCCACCCAGTGAAGCAGTGTGGCAATGTGTTTTTAATGGCTTTAGGACAACAATGGAGCTCTATGGCACAGAAGAATAAACTGTATCACACTTAAGCTGCACAGACTCTCCATAGAGGGTTTTGGTCTCTTGGTGGGATTTGTTGAAAAGTATTGAATCACCACACTAACCCAGAGAGGCCGAGATGAACAAAAAGATGGGATAACCATCGCTCATCATGAGGACCATCAAAACAAACTTTTGTATTTTTTTGTATATTTACATTAAAACATTGGAATAAACAGGCTAAGTAAACCGAACTGGGGTGCCATTTAGCCATCTACACATCCCTGAGTATGAAAATAGTTAAAAACTCACTGCTGTGTCCGCTCCAGCTCTCCATAGAGCCAGCCGTCCTTCTCTTCCTGGATGAGCAGGGTGATGATGTCGCCGTCGTCGAAGCTGAGGAGTGTGTGGTTGTTGCCCGCCGTATGGGGAAAGATGGTCTTAACTCGAGGCCTCCTGCCCACATTAAGACCCGATGACTGAGATGTCGACCGGGACAGACTGCCCTCTCCGAGACTGCCCCGATCTGGAGGTAGCGGAGGGTCACAAAAACAGAAATTAGAGATCAAAACTTATAATGAAAGGTCATTTGTTTTAGCAGTAGTTTGACACTTTGGGGTTTATTTGCTTTATTGCAGAGGGAAGATTGACAACATTATCAGTCTGCATGGTAAATGTGCAGCTACAGCCAAGAGACAGTTAGCCTGCTTCTTTCCAAAGCTAACAAATTCCTACCAGCACCTCTAATGATCACAAATTGTATTGCATGTTTAGTCAGGTGCTTGTACTGGTGGAACCCGAAATTGGATTTTGTTTGGACTGTTTCTCCTGTTTCCAGTCTTAGTGCTAAGCTAAGCTAACAGCCAGCTAGCTTCATATTTACCATAAAAATATTTTTTTGTTGATTTTTTCATTTAACTGTCCAAGAGCGAATAAGCTTATTTCCGTTCTTTGAAAGCACTCGTATTTTGACAGAACTTCAAAAGAGGGAACCCATGACATTTTTAAAGTATTATAATATTAATGGTCAGAATTTCAATCTGCACTCATTCAGTTTTCATGAAACATGACTTGGTGACTGGCATCTTGTTAACGGTCAAAACAGTCTTCAGAACCAGAATTGGTTTTATTGCCAAGAAGGTTTTTGCATGCAAGGAATTTGCTATGGTGGAGGACTGAGACATTCCACAGTCATTTTTGGGCATATCTATGTATTTTTGTAGAGCCTATTTTGCTTGTGTTTCAGAGAAGCCATCTGTACCTGAGCTGTGGTCTGAAGAGGAGGTGAGTGGAGATCTGGGCTCTGGGTTGAACATGTTGGCTAATGGACTGATCTGGGCCTTGAGCTGGGGTGCTGGAGGAGGCACCTGTGACTCCATGTTGTTCTGAGGGGATGAAGAGCAATAAGATTAGCAGTCGCAATATGTGACAAAATATGAGAAATTATAACATTGTGTTTGAATGAACAGGGTGAAGTCCTTATCAAGGCAGAACATTCATTACAGTAACTGAAACTTATTGTCTCCCTCCTACGCAGCAATAAATAGCCAGGGCCAAAAAACCCTCAGTGGACTTTAAAACAACAACACAAGCACATGCAGGGTTTCCCATGGCTGGTAGCCAGACAATGATAACCAGCCACCTTACACACAACAGCCTCCATCAGATACCAGCACCTTAACAAGACAAACTACAAGCAACAAGACAAGATAAAACGCTCCAGGGCCAGTCTTTTTTACATGATTTGTTCCACTTATGTACTATCTGGAAGGCTTTTATCTACAGCTTTTATCTGATGCATCTTACAGTAAGTTAGTGATGAAAAGCAACACAAAAGATAAATAAATACAGTTCACAGCCAGCATGAAACCACACACGAGCAGCTAACACTCACCCTGTTGTTGCGTTCAACCTGCGGGGATTGCTCCGGAGTGGTGGACAGCCCCTCTATCATAGTCATCACCGTATCCGGCACCATGGTGATGTCGCTGCATTTTTCCTGCCAGCTGGGGAGCTTCACGGCAAGCATGTCTTTGGCCTGGAAACACCGGAGAAAGAAAGAGAGCAAAGTGTTTAACAGCCCATAAATGGAGGGGTCCGACTATGCAGGATTACCTCTCTGTTTGTGCTTACTTTCTCATGGAAGTTGCTAATTTGATAAGAGAACATGCAGTGTTTGTCCGCCAGGAAACAGAAGCGTCTCTTTTCTTCCAGTAAGGCCTCCCTGCAGCCCTCAGCCATGAACTTCTGCATGTCCACCTGGCGTGATGTGATTGTCTTCATATACTGCAGAGAGAGTCGGAGGACGGCAAGGGGGGGCATGGAACAGGGTTAATAACTGGTCAGGTTTCAAATGAGAAATAAAATGAGTATTGTGTTTTATTATATTGTATTGGAGGATATCTTCCACAAAGTGCACCAAAGATGAAACTCAAAATGGTAGAATGGGCCTAAATAAATTAAATATATATAAAATATATATGAATAAATAAATATGAATAAAAACATAAAAATAAAATAATAATAAAACAGTAAATTAGTATATAAATGGTACAGAAAAACAGAAATAAATAAATGAAAAGATCTTACATGGGAGAAAAGAAACACAAAAGAAACAGCATACATACAAATTGTAGGATATTAACACAAATTAATACAAATTAAAAAATATATGTTTTTTTTATTTCCCTTAATTTCTGTATTTTTTGTCTTCTTTTTATTGTTACTTCACTCTTTTATATTGTAATTAGATTTTTCTACACTATTTGAATTTTTAATTTTATTTATATATTCATTTAATTTAATAATTTTGTTTGTGTTGATCTTGGGTATATTTGTTTATTGTTTTTAATCACATTTGCACACATTGATGAATTATCTATTCCCTTAAATCAAGCCTGTTGTTCACACCTGTGTGTCATCTCTAATGATGTCTAGTTGTTTTCACGTTTTTACTGTAAGACCTTTGGTACTTTTTCACAAGCCTGATGATGTGTTGCGGGGGATGAGGGGATCAGATTTATTTGCGTGCTCAGGTCAGATTCACAAATTGAGGCGCTAATAAGTTTTAGAATGAAAGTTTCTCCAATTAGTGACAAGTTCAGTCGGGTCTCCTGTTGCCTGTGGATTGATCTTTGTGCAGCGGAAAACCTAATCAGAGCGCCGAAAAACACACCTTCCGCTCAAAGAGGCTGAGGACGACTCTGCTTGTCAAAGCAGCTGAACCTGAAATATCAAACTCTTTAAACTGACTTCTCAACCCACCCCTCCATCCTTTCATTCTACACCCACTCGCCCCTACTCTCCCATTTCCCCCCGGTTGTCATGGTGACGGTAAAGCAGCCTGTCTCTAAGGGCTCGGAGACCCTCCTCTACTGTCTGGTCTCATTTTTTTCTGTCTCTCTCTCTCCTTCTCTCTACAATAGCCTGTCAGAAGCAGAATCAAGACTCTTCATTTCCCATTTTCACCGCAAACAATCATCCAGATTCTCAGCGAGAGGCGGTGAGAGCAGACAGACAGTGAGCTCATCATTGGCAGCGCCACACATGATTATGAGAAAGCTGAGTAGTTAGCCTCGTCTCTCTTTTTGTCAACCAGTGTCATTTTTTATCAGATAATGAAAAAGCCACTTCCGAGAGAGGAGGGGCCCCATGTCTCAGCTCAGATTGAGAGCCAGGCTCAGGCTGTAAGGCTCCACCCAGATAAGACAACAATTGTGCCAGTGTCTTTTTCAAAAGGTGCAAGGGTAAACAGGAGACTGATTCTGACTTTAGCAGCAGAGGGAAAAAGAAACAGCATGCAGCTTAACAGCTCTTTTACAACATGCAATCTGTACTTTTTTTAATTAAAGCTTTTGTTTAGTAATTTTCTCGAAACAAGCCAGGCTTACACACCATCCATCATCAAAGTGAGGCCCTGAAAACAGTCGATAAATTAAAACAAGAGCCAGACAGGAGTTATTACTCAGGCTATGCAGTCCCTCCTTCATCTCACCACACTGATTTACAAAGCAAATTACTATCTGAGGTGTTAAGACTGCTTGTTGGCAGAAGAACATAAACACCCGACAGTGTGCAACACACTTCAACCAATACACTCTGGGTCACTGAACCACAAACAAGCCTACTCAAGCAAGGCGATTTCGACACTGACTTGCAAAACTTCAAAGCTGTGTGTACTTCTGTCCATCCAGCAGTGGCACTTCTTCGCCACGGTTGTCATTTCATTTGATTGTGATAGGAGTGTTGAGTGGATGTTGAAGCCCTACCAGCTCTATTTTGGCATACAAAACATGCTTATTGCGCCTTCCTTACTATATGTCCTTGGATAATCGAAGTAGTTACACTGGAAATACACGTCGATCAATTTACCTCTGACTTTTTTTTATGACTACATTTTTGGCTGCAAGGAATGAAATGGAAAACACACCACTGTACTCTTTATTCCTCTGTCAGCTGACCATCCTTACAGACCTGTTGTAATTACCATTGGTTTACTCTTATCTACAAAACCCTCTTTGGTCTGTCCTCCCCGACTACATCTGCTGCCTGTAACACCCACTCTGCTCAACATATTCTGTTGTGTTCCCAAAACAAATACTGTATTCGGTCTGCTGCAGCCAAAGACTGAAACAATCTGCAAAAAACACTAATGCTGGACAAATTTATCTTCAAGTCAACTTCAAAGACTCTATTAAGGACATTCTCACTGATCCATGCGGCTGTTTCCCAACGCAATAATCCTTCCTAACTTTTGCTCTGTCTGTTGTCCTGTGCATATTCTTGTTCTCTGGCTACTGCTGTTCCTTGCTTGGTCTGTTTGTCTTACAGCTTGTACAGTGTATGCTCCCCTTGTTCTCTTGCTGAATTGCCTGATGCTGTTGCCTGTCTGATGCTTGCGCGCTAGACTGCATGTCTTTTATGTAATGCCTTTTGTCACATGTAATGCTTGTTGTGATTTTATGTAAGTAGGTATGGGCGTGATTACATTTTTTTTTATTTTTTTTGGATGTGTGCTGATGTTTTTCTAACTTTTGACATTTCTTTTTTAGCCCCTACTCCCTTCCCTCAAGAGGCTTTGCCTTTTTCCAGACCGCCATCATACATTTGTTCTTAATGACATGACTGGTTAAATAAAGGTTAAATAAAAAATAAACAACCTAAGATGACCATTTAATATAGATTGCTGCGAACAATACTACCTGTATCTCAGCACTGTCTGAAACCGTGTCTGTGCCTGCATACATGTGAGCATTCATGCATATGTTTGTGCAAATCTGGGTGTGTACGCCTTTAATAAAAACACAATTTTCCATCTGTATAGCTGAACACTGTGGGCCAAGCTATAATGGCCTCCTGCATGCAAAAACAGAGAATCTGCAGATGGCTACAGGCGTGGTGGCACCTTTGAAGGGTTTAAGTCCTTTGTCCAATCTAAAAAAAAAGCATTTCTTTTAAGGAATTTGGTTCCATAATTGTCTGTCATCAATGATGCCATGCCCTTACGTAATACTAAAGTACAACTGAGAAGCAAAACGTGCTCCACACCACCACTTTACTCTGTTGCATTGGTATGTGATTATCATGGAAACAATCTTGGCCACATCTCTCCACACAGTCACATAAATTGTACACTTGTCATATTCTTTTCACTGGCATCAGAGCATAAGCATGCAAAGGCCCCACTGCTCGAAAATCCATACAATTGTTACGTAAGTGAACACAACATTTTGAAGGGAAGGTTGGGGTTGGTTTGGTTTCAATCTCACCTCGTTTTCTTTTATCTCGTACTTGTTTGATTGCTTTCCCTGGCTTTTCCTCCTGAGCTTCTTCAGGTCCGTGAGCGAGCGCTCCAGGGAGTCCTGCTTCAGCTTGTGCTCTGACTGATAGCGCTTGAAGGTGGCCTACAGACGTTTGACAAGAGAGGCATAAGTGAAGGGAGGACCAGTTGAGCAGTTTTCATTACACAAACGTTCCTCAGATGCACAGAGGCTGAAATAATCTCTCTGTTTGGTTGGTGGGTGTTTGAACTGATGGAAAGAGGGATATATGATTACACTTACGTTCATGTATTTAACATCCATCTCTGTCTTCTTCTCCAGCTCGATAATAACCTCTCTGTGGAACCTCTTTAACTGCGGAAAATGTGAAAACACACCCCTCAAATTCATTGCAACATACATCCTGCTGCATGCACGCTGTTCTAAACGCAATGTACAGTTCAGTCACATGGCTCAATGGCAGCATTATGATAAGAGTGGAGTGACCTGGTGGAATGTATGATAATGGGTTTCTGAGAGGATGAGATTCCACCCACCAGGGATGGCTTATCAGCCTGTTAAGGTTAATGATTTACAACTTTACCCTCTCGCAGATGAATTGCAATCAGTCCGGGGTAGTTTCAAAGTAACTTGGAGAGAGCTTGTGCTTATTTCTCGAATTTGTCTTACATTGGACTGAGTCCTGTTTTTCAGTTGTTGCCGCATTTAAACTGGCGACACTTCGATTTACTTCTCGTCACCAGCTGGTATCTGAAGCATTTCACCCTGAGGCAGCAGGGTCAGGAATGACTCAGTGGATTCTCCACTCTCGTAAAACTTTCCTTCACCACTATTTCAAACTCTCTAAAATGAAAAGAATGAGCCTAAAAGGTTGTAGAGGTTACGTGTATAGAAAGGACAGTGTGACAAATGTAAAATCTCTGTCCATTATGTGAAGATAAGAGAGTTAATGGCCATGGGGTACTTCTAGGAATGACAATTTCTTACTCCTACAAGCTCAACAGGTCCAGGACCAGTCAATGCACAAAATTATTTTAATGACATAATTGCAACACAGGAAAGATTTAGTCTCTTTTCATCCTTCAAATCCATTATGTTCTTCTTCGCACATTATGTTTCTTTTATTCTTCTGATTCAGGACCAGAAATAATGGAGCAAAGATGAAGGGAACAACTTTAAGAGCAGTGGGCTTTGCTGAGAGAAGGCATTCAAAATCAAGGCTGGCCATTTTCTTTTTTGTACTGTCAACAAAAGACCATGGAAAGACCAAAACCTACAATGTGTCAGTCTGTCTCTCAATACTTTCTGACTTCCATACTATGTTTAAGGCTCTCAGCCTTAAGACCATGCCACCAACAGTGAGGCTCATTTATGTGATTTTGAGTTTATGGAGGTTGATGGCACAGGCTTTGGCTACACAAAATGTTTTTGTAAGATCAATTCGTTGCTGGTTTTGGTATTTTTATGGGATTTGTTGACAGTAAGAAAAATAAAGAATATCACCAGACACACTTTAGAGCTACTCACGTTCTCTTCCAGTTCATTGTGGACGTTCCTGTGGACCTCTGCTATCTCCATCAGAACCACACCTAGGAAAACACCAGGAATGACTCTTAGTATTTCAGAAATCATTAATAAGAAATAGAAAACCATTCTGAATGTATGGCCCCTGAGGTTTTGTGTTATAACTTCGGTCAAGAGGAGTTAAAGCAAATACTTTGGGGGAAAAAATTATTCGCTTTCTTGCAGAGAGTCACAAAAGAAGAGTGGTATCACTACAGGAAGTGACTCCACCCGGGCAAAGAAACAGAGTGGCACGGAATCTCCTGTTAAACCACAACGTGTTGTTTTTGCACTTCAGTTTTTGAAAGGATTAAACAAACAAGATATAATGTTATTGAATTAGCTTAAGGGGTGCTGGTATGTGGTTTTGTTACCTTTGTATAGAGCCAGGCTGGCTGTTTCCCCCTGTTTCTTGTCTTTGTGCTAAGCTAAGCTAAGCTAACTGACTGCAGCTTCATATTTCCAATACAGACATGAGAATGTTATCAATACTATTTGTCTTATAAAAACTTTAAGTCATATCATATGAGTGTATGCTCTTTGCCTGTTAATAATAGTGTTTGTGTATAATTGCATGTATTATGAATGCGTCTGTTGGATTCTTCATACTACATTGCTGTAATTATTTCTTGTAATATGCCACTTTTATAGGCAATTCTACTTCACATTCTGTTGCCATTTATATACTGTATTTGTTTTTTTATATGTGTAAATAATCAAACAAAACAAATACTCATATCAAACTCCTGGCAAGAAAGTGTATTTCTCAAAATGTTGAACTATTCCTTTAAGAAACCAAACATCCAAAAGCCGTGTACAACAGAATGCAGATTCAGGAGCAGATGTAATGATGTAAGAACCCTTAACAATAAACACTTTTCAAATTTCCTGTATAAACATAACCAGTTTTTTATAAAGCCATGCATAGATCTTTACAGCTCATATTTTACTGATGACTTATCTCCTTTCAATATTTAAACAACTGTCAATAAGTAATCTCTATGAAACATTCTGGTATTGTGCAGTCAGATACAGAACAGTCTCCATTCACAGACAGGCTACAGCATGGATAGAGCAGCATATGACACGAGACAATGGGAGTGAGTCAATACTGTAAACAGAAGTGGACAGTCATAGCTAAGCAGTTTATAGTGCTACCTCTGTCACAATGGGGTGAAATCTAGACTCAAGGTTTACTATAGGACACACAGTGTTCTGGTGAAACCTGTAAAAACAGTGTGGGACATCGTATTCGGACATGTGACAGTGTCACTGTGAGGGAAAAGAGCAAAAGTGAACAACCTGCAAGAATCTCAACACCTTCAGAAGATAGTTAACAAAGCACAGGTGTCGGGTTCACTTTGTGATTTTTAGGTGAAAATCTGTAAAAGAGTTGCCTGTCAGCACACTTGGACACCTGAACACCTCATACACGTTTGACCCAACCTGACATTCCTCCCTGCACGCCTCCACTCAGAACAAACAAACGTAATGACCAGCTGATACAGAGCTGCACTTCTGTGATCCAGCGGGCAGCGTCCAGCTACAACAACATTGCCCTCTGAAGGTCACCAGAACGTACTGGTAAATGCTGCCTTTGTGCGTCCGCGGGGAGGGGTGGCGCTGGCTCGGGGGCTGTTTGTACAGCCCCAACAACAGCCTGCGTGGAGTGGAAGGGGGAGGCTGAGGAAGGCACGGGATGGAGTTTAAAGAGACCGTTGTACACCTGCAGGTTTCACCTTTGGGGTTAACAAGGTGTGAAAGCCTGCCTGAGGGACAGTACATGCTACAGAAAGTCATCACAACTTGGTATATATAGACCGTACGGTGAACGATGAATCTGTAACATGAAAGACTGAAGAGAGTGAACTGGAGTTGAGATGGACAGAATACAACATTGTGAAGAAGTCAGAGAGCTGACACTTGTGGCTTTCACTCTGAGGAAATAAGATGTGAGAGCTGAGGTGTAAAAGTAAAAGTAAAAATGGATTCTCTCCAGCTAAAGTGTGAATAATGGAAAAGAAGCACGTGGCAAGACATGGTTTTTAGCATCTACTGGGCCAAACTGGACTGCTATTCAAGTTCATCACATTAAAAGAACATCATGAGATGGCTTTTTCTCAGTTTATTTTATCTCCAATCTCTGTTCCTGGTGATTTGTTCTCTTTTGAAGATGTTAAGTACTACAATAATCTAATCTCACATCAACAATTTCAAATATACAATGCCGTGTTTTACGTGGATTTCTATGCAGGTTGGTACATAGTTGATAAAAGATATCGGTGGAAAACTACGCCATCCAGGATTCACTCATATGACTTGTGAGTCATTATTATGAACACTTTGTCTTTTCTCTCCTCCACTTCCTCATCCAACACTTCATAATCTGTAGTAAAAGTAATGTAAACTACTTCAGATACTGTAGCTCACTGCTAGATAAAATGAACTTTGACTTTTTTATCCAATGGGTGGTTAAAACATTCATAACCCAACTGCTGTTGACTACAGGTCAAAGTGAATGCCGAAAAACTGTAAAAAGAGACGACTGAAAAGTAATTTCTTTTGGTCCTGTATTAACTATGTTGGTAATTCACTTGGCAACACCTGTATCTAATGCCTGTTTTACAAGGCTGCTGATAGGTCGCAGAGCAACGCCTTTGACATTCAACAGGTGATGCCATTTATGAGCTGGGAGTGCCCTTGTGCCACCACAACACATGCCTATTTGGTGTTAGATAAGGAAGCTGCACAATATGAGATGACGTTGGCAGGGCAAACACTGGCAGCTCACCTGTTGGCTCCTTTTCTCTGGCTCACCTTTATTTCACCACTTTAACTGATAACCCTTCCTCTGTTGTGCAAGCGACATCTGAGCTGAACTAAGTTGGTCATAGACTTGTAAGCGAAGTTTTATGCATCACTCGGGTTATTCACGCAGGCTTCTGAACACTGACACTGCTCCTCCTATGTGACTCAGGATCGAATGGTATCTAAGTTATACACATTCCAGTGCAGGTACGGAGTGACTGTGTGGGGGTTGCGTGGATCAGAGCTACTCCCTTGCTGTTATCATAAATGATGTCATTATGTGTGAGTGTGGTCTAAATCCAATGTGGAAACACAGGGAGAAGTCACCGTGGTGTCATTGTGACACAAAATGCTCCAAAAGAATTCAGATTTTAGTTAACTCTGTCATCCATTGTGGGGCAAACGAATATCCATTCATCCATTCCAGTCATTTGATGGGAATATCAGTATCGCCATAAAAAAAGCTCCAATTTTTATGATTTTAATCTTGTTGAACCAAACCAACCACATCCTACAACTTCTGGGAATGCCACTCCTGTACAGAGTTTGTATCAAACAACCAACAACCACTGCATACATCAAAAGCTCAAGGGTAAAAAGAAAAAAAAAAAATGTATCCACAATTTAATGATCACTGGGCAAACTCTATCTGCTGATGAAGATCATGTGGTATGAAAAGCTCAGGAATGGCTAATTAATAGACCTTGAGGCGAGATTGTTTTGTCAACATCAACTGCATAAACTGACATGCCAACTCAAGGCAAGGCTGCATTGTTCAGTTTCTTAAGCTGACAACTGGGAGATACAAACACTCAATTGATCAATTAATCAAACATTAAACATAAAAGCCAAAGGCGACATCTTCAAATGTCTTTAAACCAAAAGTTGACAAAGAAATGCAAAGAACACTCTGTCGGCATTATTACCAATCAAATCAACCACCTTGAATACTGATAATCGGTTTATCACTCTAATGATGATCAAGAGCGACCTTTTTTGGTTTCTATTATACTATTGTTTAGTGATTTGAGAATCTACTGTCATTCAGCATGTCTACTGTTTCCTAGAGATCAATAGCTAGGACAGCTTCCTTAACATAGAGCGATGACCTGCCATCACACACAGCACATAACATCTTTTATTACTAGAACACATAAAACTAACTGCAGCCGCAGAGCATCAGCAATAAATCTCAATTTATAAACTGAAGGCAAACCTTAAGTAACCTTAAAAACGGCACGTATGCTTCGTATGCTCTTTATGTGAAGAAAAACTAAAGAACAAGGTGGTTTAAAGGTTTTATAGTCAATCATTTCCACTAAATACTTTTTAAAATCTTTAATAGCTGATAAACGACTTCAGGTGCAGAGCAAGCAAAGGAGGGATCACAAAGAATCATGGGGTATTTTCGTGAAAGGACTGAAGTGTGACGGGGTTTTAGATGCCCCACCGTCACAGTTTATTGAGCAGTAAGTGAGTCTCTGGTCTCTTTAGAGGTCCCTTGGAGGAAACTCCCAGTGTACTGGAGAGCCTTTAGTTTAATGGTGGATTCGGGACGAGGGTGTTTGAGGTCTGAGATCATTAGAGAGCTGTGGAGTGTGACGAAAGGAGTCATAACTGACTGAACAATGAGTGGACTCTTTGAAAACAACCTCCACCCTCCTCTATTTCGCTAGTTTTCATCAGTCTATGCCTGGTTTGGAAAAAAAAGTCTGTGTCTGTGTGACTGGTCCAGCTAATTGTTCTCAGCATTTGCCCATACCTCTCATGATCAGTAGAGCTGATACACCTAATGGAGGTTTAAAGAAATAGTTCAACATTTTGTAAAATATTCATTTTCTTGCCGAGAGTCAGAGAAAAGCAATACCACTGACGCATTTACATCTGTACACTAGGTATGTGGCTGGAGAAACAAGACCGTTAGCTTATCTAGGCGTAAAGCCTGGAAGCAGAAGGACACAGCTATAGTCTCTGTCCAAAGTTTAGACATTTCTTTAGACATTTTGAACAAAAACGTGTTAATAATTTAGAAAAGCTGATTAGCAGATTTTCTTTAGCTTTGGACGGACCCAGGCTAGATTTTTCCCCCTACTTCTAGTGTTTATGCTATGCTAAGCTAACCTAACCATCTCCTGATTGTAACTTTAAATTAATAAACCGAAGTATCAGTTATCTTATCTTACTCTTGTTGGAAAAAGCGAGTGAGTGTATTGAATGTACTGTAAATTTCAAACTATTCCTCTAATGAAACTCTGGAGTATGTTGCATGTCATTACTCTAATTAGTCTAGAGGGGGCACTAAAATCTTATGTTACATACATCATCTGAGATACTAAAAATTGGATTTTTTTTTTAAATGTATAAATTGTGCATCTTGTTGGTTTTAAGAAAAGGTGAAAATAAAAAAAAATAAAAAAATAAAAAGAGACCACTATTAGCCTACAGGTCTAAACAAAGAGACATTCTTAAACAGGACAGCAGTATTCATGATGGAGACGTGCATTGTTATTGATAGTGAGCCTGTTAGTCCCTCTAAAACAAATTAAATGAACTATGTGCCAAGTTTTGTGGGCCAAGACAGATGAGTCCATTCCAGCTGTTCTCAGACGCAAAATACAAAGCAGGGAGAAAAATGAAGGGAGGTGTACCTTCACTGACTTTTGGAAAACATTAATGGTTCCCTGATGCTTCTGGTGAGGATGTCTGTAATGAAAGATAAATTGTCCACCATGTAGCTTACTGATGATAGAGGCAATACCGTGTGTTGTGTCTAAAGAGTAAAACAGGCCCATGAAATAGCTTTGCAGATGTTTGAGATGTCACAAACCCTTATTAACCATAACATCAACCTCCGTTCAGAAGAAATGGCTGCTCTCGAAAGCTAAAACTGTTGCAGAAGCTATCGGCAGGAAACACTCTGAATCCTAAATCTCTGGGGAGGGAAAGATCACTCTGGCTGACATAACCATTTTTCTCATGCGGACTACTTCAATATTTCAAAAAACAATTTCGACTGAGGCAGGACAAACGGCGCAGAGAAAAGGTGGAAGGGGTGGGGATCATGCTATTCTTTCTCCTGTAACATTTTCAGTCCCTCACTACCTGCTGCTTTTCAGAGTGGAATGGCAGCTCCCTGTGGAGTCCAGTCATGTGCTAATGCACAGGAAGTTTCTGATTGTACACCCACTGAAAACTATGGCTTTTAAATAAACAGACTGATGTATGGCACACCAGCTGCCCTGCCATGGCAGTGTGTTATAGATGAACGTAATCATGTGCAATTTCAAATGTAGAACTAGCTTAATGTGGTCTCAAAAAGTAATGGGACATACATTTTTCTTACAAATTTTCTTGAGACAGTTCCTTACAACATCATGTCTCCAAGTGAAGTCTGTTTTTCTGTTTTACTTTTATGGAAAAAAATAAAAAGTATATCCATGCTAAAATGTAGCCAAACAGTAGCACAATTAGTAAACAATGATAAAGTCAGCCAACTGACTCAGTAATGAGTGTCACAAAGCTATCAACTTTTGGCATTTTCAAATATTTGGAGTAACTTGAAGTTAGCAGAGGAAGTTATTACTTGAAGTAGGACATTGGAGAACATCTCATCTAAGGGTTATCAAGAAGGTGGCTTTTATTGTACGTTTTGCAGCATGTACCATAAGATGTAACAATTTCTCAAGCATGTTGATGTTTCTTCTAAGTAGTCAGCACCAGTTAGAGGCTTTCACTCATCTATCTGACTTCAAGCACTTGTGTCATTTGACTAAAAGTCTTGCCTTATTACACTATACACTTTCACCTCCATTATAGCATCAATCTGAAAGAGGAAATGTGGACAAACTGTAGTCCTGGAAAAAAAAGGGAGCAGCGCGGTATCAAGTAAAAGCCTTAGGTAACTTTCTGCAAATACCTGCCAACCACTGTGACGCAAGTGCTTTTTTACACCACGCCATTCACAGAGGTTGGTCTGTCATTCTTGACAGTGGTGCCGTTTAAAGGAGAGTATGCTTAATTCTTTGACTCTTCTGCCTAAATCAACAACCCGAATGTCAGTGACGGAGTGAATGATTAAAGATTCACTTGAGGCAATAAGAAGCAACTGTAAATCCTGTGGAAGTATTTACGAGGAAGGAAGAGTTAGGTCTGTAGGTTCTGACACATCCACCATTGCTTAACTCTGTTTTATGTCTTTTATTTTGTCATATTATGTCAATAAAAAAGGGACAAAATGAAGTAACTCCCCTTATTTCCATATAGTTTAAGTCTCCCCTGGCCTCCACAAACAGACAGTAAAGACTGCCGGTGGGTTTGGTGAGGCAGATGGAGGAACAGGGGATGAGAAGGATCATTGGTGGGAAGACAGTCTCCTCTGTCTGTCTGTTTATTCAGCGTGTTTGCTACTCTGCTCCCTGCAATGTGTGAAAGAATTCACACTGTCTCGTTGTCGTCTAGACTTCATGTGCCGTTTTACTAGAAGCCATTTCAATGTTGGAATGGGTGTCGAATGAAGTTATGAGATTGCAGCATGTTTCGAATCTAATACATTTAAATTCATGTATTTTTGTCCAGAAAGGCAGCAATCAATGTTAAAGCTACAAACCATTCACATGCTCAAAAGTAAAGATGGCGGAGCATCTGGTGTGGCACTTGAGAAGTAGTTTCACCTCATTGTTTTTGGTATGCAGTGAAAACGTCAAGACGGTGTAACATGAACATATTATTTAATGAAGCAATGTGTTGGCATTGTTAACTGACAGGTGCAGGTCTGACAAACTCGATTAACGTTGCGTAACAGCAGTGAGATTATCCTCAATCACAGTAAATGTTTCACTGCACTCTACCAGACAGATAGAAAAAATAATATCATCATTTTTAGATTTTCCCATTTCTTTGGTTGTGGTGCTAATTTGCAGGTATACATTTTTTTTTCAAAGTCATGGGGAGCCAAGGGAGAGGTGTTACAGGGCTGCATGATGCTCCAGAGCCACAGGTTGCCTACACCCAAATCTATGTATCAAAACCTGCTCAGTTTACATTTTATTCTAGTAAGTTTTCAGAAGAATGGTCAAGAAAAAGCCAAAGTGATACCCGAAAGTCTGGATTTTTTTTTGGTCTAAAATGTTTAAAATGTGTTCTTTATGGTTTCATTTTCACCTCTGCTGTAATGTTCAGCTATGCTGCTTTTGTGTTTCACTCACTTCCTTATTACTTTATTTACATTTTTACCAAATGCGACAGACACACCTAATCACGTCTCTTTCACACAGTGACAGCTCTGTGACAATCGCGGCAACAAGCCTGGCATGTCAACAGACTTTGTTTATGACAGGAAGTAATGCAAATGCCATTTGAAGGAAGGGAAAATATGCAGCTATTTTTCCAAGACATGTGTGGTGATGTAAATGGATGTAACGTTCCCTGTGGTCCCAGTTTTTCTTTAAAAGGGCTAGATGATAAAGCATTATCTTTTTCCATATTTACTGCTCTACTCTGATTCCCTGCCTGTCACATCAACCTGAGCTTACATGCTGGCAATTTATAAAGCCAGCAGGAGTGACGCAGCAGAATACAAAAAAACAACTTAATGAATTTTAATGGCAGGACAATTAGGACCCCTGTACAAAGTGGGTCGGCTCCAAATTTTAGCACTAATAGAATAATTGGAGATGAGTCACAGAATGGATGAAAAACAGCCTGTATGGCAGCCTCAGAGAGAAGACAGATAAGGGGAAGCACTTCAATCAGAACGAGGGGTAGACAGCAGACAATAATACATTTCTGCTGCTACTGTGCCACAAGGATTCAATCAATGTTATTTCCAGATGTTTGCATAATTGACTCGCATTTGGGATGATGGCTGCATGCGGGTAAAATACGTCACCGTAATGAAGTTGCATAGAAACTGCATTTTGATGGTGTCCAGCCTCTGTTGTTTGACAGGATGTTTGGGCGAAACAAGAGCATCTCTCTCAGATTTTGGGAAATACACTTATTTGTTTTCTTGCCAAAGGTTATTTGAGAAGATCAATAACACTCTTGTGTCTGTACAATGCATTTAAGGCTATGGCCAGCAGCCAGTTAGCTTAGCTTAGCATAAAGGCTGGAAACTGGGGCTAGCCTGCCAACATGACAAAATGACAATGTATAATTCTTACAAAACAACACGCTGTTGTTTAACGGCGGGTTATGTCATGGTCAAGGTCAGTGCTCTCATTCAAGAAATTCTCATAAAACCACTAATCTGCGTTTTTACACTTTAGAAGGGATGGTAGTCAGATTTTGTTACCTCCGGAGAGAGCCAGGCTAGCTGGTTCCCCCAGTTTCCAGTCTTTGCGCTAAGCTAAGCTAACCAGCTGCTTACTCTAGATTCATATTAACCGTACAGACATGACAGTGGTATCTACTAACTATTCCTTTAAGTACCTTTCAACAAAAATAAAAGTGAGAAATCAGTATCTCCACCACAGAGGCGTTTGAATATGAACATCAGGCAGACCCCCTTGAGACTTCACTCACTGTGGGCAGATCTAACCTGGACTCGCATGAAACTCACCAAGCTCTCTGGAGACTGGAGACACGGTGGCATTCACTCCGATCTTTGAGACTGCATCAAAATAGGCCTTTCCAGCGAGAGTCATTGCTGCGTGGGGAGACAGAGAAAAGTTTCTGGATCATTTTGTGTTCTGGCGAAACTTCCAAATCAAACTCTTCGATTGGTGGCAATTCTGTTGAAATTGAGGTCCCTCTGAGGCCAAGTTCACAGTTCACATTAAGACCTTTAGATCAGTACGTCCTGTTGTGAGGGTGTAAGCTGTTTACCTGTGACTGATTTCTCATAGTTCTTCCCGAGGTTGACCAGGTTCCTCAGGCCCGGGTTGAACTGATCCATCATAATCTGGGACAAAGAGCAGAGATTAACGGCCGATGAAATGATACAGTGTCACACATTTTTGTAACCTACTTTCTCTTTTGCTTACGCACAAACACCCTAAATTAAAAAAAAAAAAAAAGGGGATTGCCAAGAATAACAAAACTCACGAGGCTATTTTTGTGGGAGTGGGTGGGGAGAAGAGAAATTCACAAAGTGTTTGTGCTTTTGCTCTACAAATGCCACCATGTGAGAACAATAAAACTTTCAATCTTTAACTTGACCCCTCACGTATGCTTTACAACTCCCTCAAAAGAGCGAAGTCCCACACAAAGTCGCAGCTATTTGCAGCATTGAACCTCATCACTCTAACCTCCCACCAACAGCCCCCCCCCTCTCTCTCTCCCCCTCTCTCTTGAAATGCCCCAACAATCAAGTGCTGTTCACCTCCCTGTTTCTATTCCCCAGGGCACACCCTCAATAGAACAATGAAGGGGCAGGTATGACTTAACATGAAGAAAAGAACAGAGCAGAGGAAAGAAATAAAGGGAAACAGGTTCCTTGTTTTCTTTTTCTCTCCCTCCCTCCCTCCCTCCCAGCTGAAACTGTGGCACACTGTAAACTACAGATCTGACTCTCTCTCCCTCTCTCCCTCTGTCACTCACACACACACACACACAGTGGGTATTGCTTAACCAGGGAAGACATTCCACTGAAAAAAATAAAATAAACCCTAATTCTACTATATGTATGTAACCTTAAACCCATAGAACAACCTTTCAAACTTCACCTGCTTATCACATGTGAGAGGCAGCAGCGTAAACTTGATTAGATCATCCTGATCTGACTGAACGAGATTAACGCCATGATCAACTGACTATTGATTAGATTACTTTATGTCCATTGATAATATATAACATGTTGATTGATGGGAGAAACGTTCTCTTCTCATCACATGTCAGACAGACAGGAAGCCTTTGGTTTGCTTTGATTCATGCAACCTGTAACAATTAAATAACAGGGTGTGTCCCTGGCTTACCTTTTTTGTTAGACTTTACAGGCTGTTATTAGAGTACTAGAGGTACTTTTTTGTCCTTGTAAACAACATCAGAAGTTGTTTAATCAGGTTATCTTTTATTTTTTTTTATTTTTACAGTGAATGGGTCCTTTATACAAAAGGTACTAAATGGGAAGAAACCAATACTGGGTGATAACGCCACAATAAAAGCACGGCACAGGCACACTAAAACTCTCTAATAAAAGGTTTATTTATTTATTAGTACATCTATGATATATGGTCATATACAGGATTCCCCTCTCTTAGGGCTTTATAACAAATCCGGGAAAATACCTATCAATTATCGACCGATTATTTCCTTTTTTTTTGCTGTGTGACTTCACTTCACTCACCTTGTATGTACTTTCAGTAAGCTTGCTCACATCCTCTGGATCCCGAGACATGATGGCAGGTTGTTTCTCAAGCCCAGAAGTCAGAAAAAAAGCAACAAATAAGATCAAAAATAAGAGGTTGTTTCGTAATCCAGGTGTTCACTCACTCCGAATAATAAATCCCACAACCGGTCCTGCTCCTTGTCTGCACCCTCACACTGTGCGCATGTGGGCAGGGAGACACTCAGCAGCCCGGCGGCACACGCACTGACTGACTGGGACACCGAGAGACTTCCCCGTGCGTTTAGAGGCTGCTGATGAGGAGGAGGAGGAGGAGGGGGAGGAGTAGGGCGAGGGAGGGCGCCGTGACGTCACGAGAGGTGTTACACAAATTGAAGTTTTCCTGTGGTGGAATAAAAAAGCTGTGAGATCGTCTGACTCTTCATCGTGTCATTAGAGAAAACAAAAAACTTTCAACGGCATGATGCGTTTTTGGCAGTGGTGTCATTGTAAAATGCTGTGACCGGCCCAGAGAGGGCGCTACAATACAAATGTTGGTACAGTAATGCAGTGATGGAAGTTGTGCTGTCTATTCAAATCATTTATTGAAGTAAAAGTAGAATCACCACAATATAAAAAAACTCAAGTATTGTTTTTAAAGTACAAATATGTAAGTTTAAAAAAAAAAGTTTAAAAGTACTCATTATGCAGAATGGCCCCTACCACCACCAGTGCTGTGATTATTAATCCTGATCCTAATCCTGAAGTAACATATAAAGCAGTTTACATTTTGCAGCTGACCGAGATGGAGCCTATACACTGGTGTATTAACTTTGTGTACCGGTGTTGAGTTGTTTATTCAAGAACATTTCACAATATCAGATTAACTCTTCGTAAGTTTTCTGTATGTAAAATCTTAATCTGTAAAGCAACTAACTGTAGGCCTATCTGTCAAATAGCGGGGTACAATATTCCCTCTGAAATGTCACAGAGTAGAAGTACAAAGCATCAGAATATGGAAACTATTGAGTAAAGTACAATAATCTTAGATTTGTATAAGTACAGGAGTGAATGTCCATGACAAAGTCACACCTGAATGTTAGTTTTCACACGTTAAATAATGTTTTTATTCCTCAAAGATGAGATATTAAAAGGTATCACATTTAGAATAAATAAAAATGTCATATGGTTTTAGAAACTTGGAGGAAAAGTTCAAATTTGGCAACATGGTTTGACATTTACTGTAAAACATTACAGTCCATTTCCTTATGGGGGCAATATACCCCATAAATTCAATCAAGCCATTAGGACATGACCATTGGACAGTTTTCTGCTGAGACTTAAAGGCGTCTCATATCATGGTTGGGGTAATGTTGCATATGTAAAGTACCATTATTCATACTGTTCATTTTACATACTCCATGTGCTTTTGATAACATATTGTATATGCATGCAAACATGACTGGATCAACCCGGTTGTGGGTCATATGGCAGCTTCTGCTAGTTTCAGACAAAGGATTAGGGATGCACAGATCCACCTTTTTCTCTCCCAATACCAATTCTTTTTTTTAACCCTTTATTTATCCATTCCTTCATACAACATTTCAAGACAGCACTGAAAAAGCAAAAAAAAACAGTAAAGAAAGAAAAATTAAATGAAATACCATATCTGTACATATATGCCACTACAGAGTACCACTCAGATACTAGTCCTGTCTTGTTTCTCTTCTCAGAAATCTCCACACCTCATTGTGTGGCGATTTCTGAGAATGAGGCCACACATTGCTGGGACACGAAAAACAGCAGTCAGCAGCCAACCGTGACTGAATGATAGCAGGAATAAATTACTATTATAATGAAACTGATACTGTATTTATGTTTTTATGTTGTGTCAAAACATGATTCCCTCACTAGGATTAGTATCAGCAGAGATAACGATGATGTGTTTGATAGGTCCCTACACATGACCCTTATCTAAGGCCTCAAGAATGATCGATAATACAAGGCCCTTGTCATTTCAGTTGATAGTGTGCATATTCACAAATACATTCACAATGAATCCAATTTTCACAAACTAATAAAAAAGGGACTTTTGGGGCCTCTGCAGTGCAGCTGACTGGTTGCTAATCAAGCCTATAACAGACATAATATATTTTAGTCACACAAAACACACATGTCTGCTCTGTTTTATCCAATATGTATTGTTTTTGATTGTCTTTTTACACACATTTTTTCTTTTACTGTATATATAAGAGAGAGAAAGGGGCTTTATGTTGACTTTTATAGATAAATCTAAAATATAGGCCAACAATAATGGTAATAATATTTCTATTATGTATATTTATCAGTGCAGCCTGCCAGTGCTGCTTTTGATAATAACCTTTCATTTCTATCTGGTAACTTCATCTAAACATAATTTAGGAGCGATCTCAGTTACCACTTTGAATAACCTGCTTTTTGGGTCATTCTTGAGTTGTTAGCACCACCATGTGGATATATAGCAAAGTATGATCACTATACCTTCCCTGTCCTTATCAAACTTTTGTTATTTCTATTTTCAGAGAAAACGCAGATACAATTTCTCACATCTGAGAAAGATGTCCCACATCACTGACAGGAATGTGACCCAGGTCAGAGTCTCCAACTCTAAAGCTGATTGTTGTTCTGGAGCCACATGATTGAAACGCATGGTGACAATTTCAAGCCTTTACAATTCCCATCTGCATGCTCTGAATCTCACAGCCAGTCAGACTGAGGCACATCAACCCCCCTTTTTCGTCCCCATGTCCAACCGCTCTGCTCCTATTAGCTCCAGTGAGAGGACCAGCAGATATGGACAGGTTCATCTAATATCTATTACACTTAATATATTTGATATTTCTTGACCCCCCTTTTTTAAAACTGTGTGATGTTTGCTTACAGACAAAATGTTGGATGGATCTTGATGCTCCTTCTCCTAATCCTGGGTGTGGCAGAGACCACAGACCCTTTGACCGATTTGGGTAAGTCATCAAGCTTCTCATTTATGCTTTTCTTACATGGCTTCACAATTCTTCACAAGTCCTGTCCTCTTTTAAACAGAAAACATAGCTGGGAAGTTGGTCTTCTATCAGATGGAGGGAAATGCCACCTTTGTGAGGGACACAGGAGAGCTGGCTTCAGATGTTCCGACTGAGACCATGTTTGAACTCTTTGATCCCCAAAAGAACTTCAGCACAGCAAAGTTCACCTACACATGGGACTTAGGGAATGGGTATGAGGACTTATCCAATATATGAAATATAAATGAAGGTTTGGAATACTTGTTGATCTTTCACACATCTTTTGATCTCTGATGCAGAGAGGTGATCCAAGGGACTGAGCCGGTTGTCCGATATCATTACGCAGAATCAGGGAACTACACACTGCGGCTGAAAGTAGGAGTGAATGTGACCAAATATGCACCTCTTCTCACTGACTTCTACTCCATGGATGTCCAAGTGCTCGGTTTGTAGTTTTATAATAATACACGAGCAACTAGTTGCAGTTAGATAAGTCAAAATATTTCAGTGTTGATTCGAAGTATCATATTCTGCCTTGCAACTTTATTTCCATGGAACATAAAAATTAAACTGACCATATGATGAGGTGGTAACGTCAAAGGTTTCAAGTCTGGTTTCAGTGAATGTCAATAAAACAAGGCAGGTTACTCCTTCAGTATGTTGGAAATTAATCTTTTAAAATCCCTCAAAAGACTGAATGTGAACTGTGAAATGATCTTGCCTAACTGTCATTAGATGTTCAGTACTAAATGTCAAAATGTATTCTTATAAAAGTACATGCTGTATTTTTCCAAGTGCAGCTGTGCCTAAACTAATCCTGGTGAAATGACTAATAAATTGAATGAATTTGCAGATGCCATTAAAAACATCGAGCTGAGGGGGCCTTCAGATTATGAGGTGTCGCAGAACACCAGTTTGGCTTTTCATGTGGATGGAAGGTAAGCTGCATTTTGGTTTGTTTTTATTTTCTGTTAATTGCAATCAAAAACAAATTATCCTGATTGCAGAATATTTATATAGATTATCAAATTATCAAAAGAATATCATGCTATCTTTTTTTACTTCTCTTTCATATATAAGTTTGAAATTATATTGTATATGGATGACCAATGCAGGTGCAATGTGTGTGTGTGTGTGTGTGTGTTTGTTTAGTCCTCCCATATGGGTGTGCTGGCGTTTCCTGACCAACTGTATACCAGATATGTCGGCGGGCTGCACGCTGACCATGCTATATGAAAATACCCTGAGACTGAACCACACCTTCACCTCCACCGGCGTCCACTGCTTGGACATCAGTGTCCGTAATGACATCAGCAAGCTGCAGTCCTCCTTCAGCATCTACGTCAAGAGAAGCAGTGCGTGGTCACACACACACAGACACACACACACAGACACACCCACACACACAGATACCTGCAGGCCAACAGGGCACTTTCCATAACAAAGAGATGAAAGGAGCTTGGCAAGGTGTGGCAAAAACACAGAAACTAGGCAGATAAAGAGTTAAAGGGCAGAGGATTGCTTACTGATATGCTTATGGTATGTGTCATGGTATATTATTGTTGTTTAGCAAATATGTCAAAAAGTTTTTTTTTAAGTTACACACTGTAGCTTTAAGGGTCAAAATGTCAAAATGAGCATTGATGGGTTAATGTAAAAACAAAACAGGCCGAAATGTCAAACTGGAAATTTATTGGCCTGTCTGCTGCTCACAGCACTGCTGTAGGACAGCCTAAAGGCCCAGTTTCAGGGGGAGGGGGGCCTGGACATCACCTAGAGAAGGGATATCACATTCAAGTCACCTTATCTTTAGTGTCTTCTGAATAGGGTGCAAAAATTTGGTTTTCAGGTAGTGACTGCTCCTTTCTTAGGCTGTTTTACGCTTATTTATGGCTTGATCTATTTCATTGTGCAATGTGACCTTATAAAATCCCTCAAACACTCTCATGTGACATCATGCTATGAATGACCCCTGAGAGGATTAAGAGGTTTAAAGACCTGAAACTCCCTTTCAACTCCTCATCTACATATGAAGCTGTCAATATTATGACAACATGAAAAAGAACAAGCTGTCATTGCACATGACATGGGAGAGGTCTACACACTGGAAGTTGTTCTCAGTGTGGACAACTGTATTAAGAATTTGACATGGATGCAATGCAGTGCTTTTTTTACACTTAGTAGCAGCCCATATGGAGTACCTAGAAAACCTTGAGGTATTTGACAACCTGAGAATCCCTTTTCGATCGGGCAGTCTGTTGGTGATGAGGATTCTTTTATTTGTAAAATCTTGTCAAAACTATTTTGTTATTATCCAATGAACCCTTAATAAATTATTAGTTTTTGTATTTATATATATTATTATATAGAATTATAAAACTCTTCGGCTGTCTAACTAAATTTTGACATGACCATTGGCAAGGCTCTCTTTGTCCTCCATATATTTCAGAGTGTAGACTTCTGAATGCACCAAAAAGTATAATAATCAGTGACTTTTCATGATGATCCATCTATTTCATTTAGTGCACGCATACAGCTAAGTATTTTGTAATTTTATAGTTTTCCACAATCAAAAATATTCTTAATACTAAGAGAATCTGTCATGAGGTGTTTCAGATAAAACGTAGCATGCAGCACTTAGCTGCATTAGTTCCACAGACAGAGACGGAACAGTGGAAATGGAGGAATCCAGGCACAGAGTGATCCGACTGCTCAACACATGACTGCTATGTTCAATTGATTTGACAGTAAAAATGGCAAGGATGGCTAATACATTCATGGGCTTTCACCTCCCATGGACTGGACTCAACAGAGCTTCTACTGTGTGGCTTATAGGTGGAGTAGCAGCTGGATCAGAGAAAGTTTCTTTCTTTATGTTACCCAGATGTTAAATGACTTTAACATTACACTTTAAAGGAATAGTGTGTAGGATTAAATTGTATCTATGCTCTCCTTCCAAGCATGTAGGAGAAACACTTTGCTGGCCGTGAAAAATACGAAAGGCCCTATCTAGAGCCAGTGTTAAGTTTGTCCACTCAGGGCTACTGTAGAAAAATGGCAGTTCAATATGGCGGCCTTCGTAGAAGAGGACCCGACAAAACAGCTAATTTTACACTTTAAAACCTGACAACACATCCTCATAAAAGAGTAAGTTAACATAAATGAATCCTCCAAAAAAATTGGACTCACTCATTCACATGAATTAAACCAACTCAAAAATTAATTGTTGAAGCATCTTAGTTGTTTTGATTTCACTTAAATGTATGTAGTTTTTAAGTACAGATGCTATAATTCCAGTTTATTCCATTGACTCATTTTCTTGAAGTAGACTTTATATCATAACATAAATCTAAACATTATATTGCTTTATAGCTTAGCTTTTTATTTCAGTTGATTCATCATCATAACCCTAATTATGCATCCAAATAATTCTTAATGATCACCCAATCTATAAAGATTTGATGTTTGTCACATAAAAAAAACACAGAAAATTAAATGGCTACCATTTTTATAATCAATTAATGATAAATTGTTTTTATTGTACGTCAGCTGTTTTGACATGTAATGTAATAATTTGCTTCAGTGGAAGAAAACTGAGTAAATTCAATTTAGTGGTAACATTTGTACAAAGAAGATGCATTTAGGTAACTTTATTCAGATACATTCTGTTAACTAATTTTAAATACATCAAGTTACCTTAACAAATACTTGAGTTACTTCTACTCAAATCAAATATGTTTATGTGACTTTGATTTTAAAAGGATCACACTCACAAGTAACATGTTTCTTTTCTGTTAATTGCAGATAACACCCACATGTTCTTCATCCTGTCATGTGCTGCCGTTCTTGTAGCAACCTTCTCCTTCATCACAGTCATCGCCTGTTGGCCTCGTCATCACAACAAATCACAGGTACAGAACTGACTTGGTTGCAGCATCTCACAATGACAACTTGCATTATACTGTATGTACACTAGGCCTACAACTTTCTTTTGCAAATTATTCTGTTACTGATGTGAGTGAATATATTAAGTAGTGACTAAGAGTGAAATGAAGGACATGAAATAAATGTATTATGATAATATAGTATCAAACTGGGTTCAATGCATGTTATGTGGAAAAACAGAGAAAAAAAGGTAAAAGTGATGTTTAGTCGTGAATAATCACTAATGTATGTTTGAATTCATTAGCTCTGATGAATAGAATCAAAACCCTCATAAAGAGCATCAGTGGTTGAATTTGGATGTAGTTTATAACCACAAGGAGGCTGTCAGTGTCCAGAAAGAAATTACATCTGGGCAACAAATTGTGCACAGAAATGTCAACTTAAGTTGGAGTGGCTGTCATTCCTCGTAGTTTGTGGAACTGCAACTTTGAAACAAAGCTATGTCGCTGACATCTGTCTGGACGTGTGATTTTTGCAGATTGCTGCTTCCAGTAACGCTGTATTCCTGAAGAACCAAGACTCTGATCATCAAAGCTCGATTCTTTTCAACTTCTCCAAAGTGGAGAAGGGAGAGAAAGAGCCACTCCTCTTACAGTATGGGAGCCAATACTCCTCTTAACCATCATGTAGGTATTTGGGAGAAAAATGCACAATTATGGTGTTACAGAAGATACACAATTCTCATCTTGCATATCACCATGATGTAGATGGTTATATAGCTACATCTGTGAATGATCATAGCACAACACATAGCCTGATATGACATTTTTAATACATCTATTTGCATAAGCAGGGCCTGTTTGTATTTAGGGTTAAGCTGCATTAATGAATGATTTAGTCATGTAAATGTTCAGTAAGCTAGTAGGTGAAATGGGTTATGGTTAGGGTTTGTGCTTTTGTAAGTATGTAATGGTAATGAATTAATGAGTCACAGAGCTTAGGCTGACATTCACATGAACTCATAATAAATTAATAGCACTAGTGCATGTCATGTTTAAACAATGAGCTGTGCTGTGAACTGATTAATTTTCATATTGATGTATAAATCTGTGCTTTGCTTTCCAGAAAAAGAATAAAACATACAGTTTGTTTCTTTTTTATAACCTTTTATCCTGCTTTGCCTGTCAAGTGTAAAGTACAGCTGAGGCTGATGGGAATGCCATTAGTTTTGAGAGAAAATTTTGGACTTGATGATGGAGTTGATAAAAAGCTAAGGGATTCCCAAAGTTACCATGAGTTATCTTGAGGGGGACATGAATGTCTAAGACAAAATTAGTAGCAGTATATGAGAAACTCAGTAAGAATCTTCATTTGGCACAAAGTAAAAGGTGCTAATTATTAGCTAAGAAAGCATCAGAGTGGTTTAATAAAAGTTAACCAAACAAACAACAAGGTTTTGTATACCATTACCTCACAAGAAACAAAATCCTTGAATCTTTTCCAACTGTGCTGCCGTCAGTTAGATTATTTTTAAGCCGTTTAGTACCTTGATGGTGTTTAATGACAGCTTGTCCTCTGTTAGAGATGTCACAACATTATTAATTGTGAGTCTCCTGATAAATGCCAGCTGTCAGAGACACTGCGGGGAGCTGCAGGTGCTCTTAGTTTCATCAGAGGATCGACCTTGAGCTAAAACAATGCTGTGCTTAAAGTCTGCAGCTGTCCACATTATTTAGGAAAACCATGCAAACCTGTTTTGATTTAAACTAAGCTGAAGCTGTCTCATGAGAG